ACATTCTTGGTTTCCATTGTTTCATCTGTGTTGATTTGTCGAGTTTTATTGACGTTGATTGTTGATATCGGACTTTTCTGATTTATCATGGCCGTACAATACACCAATGAAGAATACACCGATATGTTATTGGTATTCGGATATTGTCAAGGAAATGGTCGAGAGAGTGTGAGGGTGTATTCGGCAAGGTTTCCAAATCGTCGCGTACCAAGCCACCCAACCTTTGCTGCAGTTGAGAGACGTCTTCGGGAGACCGGTCATTTTGCTCCTAGAACTGGTGATTATGGAAGACAGCGTTATGTAAGGATTCCCGAAGTCGAAGTAGAAATTTTAGACCGTATTGAAGAAAATCCAGAATTGAGTACTAGACGGATAAGTAATGAACTAGAAGTTTCTAGGAATGCCGTTCATGAAGTACTAAGAGAACAATTAATATACCCATACCACAAGACGCCAGTTCAAGATTTATTAATCCATGATTCACAAAGTCGTCTGATGTTTTGTAGGTTCATTAATTTGCAAAGAGAAATGAATCTGAACTTTGGAAAGAATATTTTGTTCACTGATGAAGCCTGTTTCACGAGAAGAGGAATAACTAATTTTCATAATGAACACGTTTCCATTGAAATAAACCATTTTCAACACGAATTCAAAATCAACGTTTGGGCTGGAATAATAGGAAATTTTATAATTGGTCCTGTCATACTTCCACAAAGATTAACAGGAGACATGTATTTACAACATCTACGAAATACGTTGCCAAATTTGTTGGAAGATTTACCACTCCAACATCGGGTAGATATGTGGTTTATGCACGATGGAGCTCCACCACATTTTTCGGTGGATGTTAGGAATTTTTTAAACCAACAGTACCCAGACAGATGGATAGGTAGAGGTAATGATGCACCCGTGAATTGGCCACCACGTTCTCCAGACTTAACACCGATGGATTATTTTGTATGGGGTTATCTCAAGTCTACGGTTTACAAGACCCCTGTGAATACTGTAGAACAATTATGGCAACGTATCCAACAGGCGACGAATAATCTTACAGGCGATGAAGAAGTTATGCAAAGAGTACATTTCAACTTTTTGCGTCGTATAAATCTTTGTATACGTGAAAATGGTGAACATTTTGAACAATTTTTATGAAATATCTGTTAATCGTTTTATTATTAATTATGCTCTAAATCACTAAAATTAAAATTTTGTCGAAACCATGAGAGGAATCGACTTTTGTCAAGAGTACCTTTTTTGTAGTGAATGAGTTGAATAATTTAGATTTCATATTGAAACTAATTTTTTTCCATTGGCGTAGGAGTTTTAGATGTTTATTTCCTGAAAAAATCAAGTTCTACGCCCATGGAATGATATTCATTATGATTATGATATGAGTTTCATTGCCCGATGAGTCTATGCCAACGTACCAAATTTGAAAAAAATCTCATGAGCCGTTCAAAAGTTATGAAGCAAAATCGATTTGAAAATTTCAACTTCAGAGCCGTCTAGCGCCCAAACTAAGCAACTTTTTACTGAGGTAAGTTTGCTTGTATCGAATTGTTTTGGTCTGAAGAATATGTGGTAGCTTTTTGTAAATACCTTTCAAGGACACCCTGTATTTTGTTTAGGAAGGGTAGTCTCCGTTTTGATGCTTATTCACAAAGTATATTTTCCTTCCTCAATCTCCCGGCAAACAGAGTAACGGCTGAAAATGGAAGTTACGCTGTTACGCTCTTTGCCGGCAATACGTGAAATGACCAGTGGCGGCTCGTGACTTTCATGACAGAGGAGGCTGAATGATATAAAACTGCATTGTTTTGGTTCTCAATTTCTCGTACGCGAGCAGAATCAATAGCGTTAATGACATTCTGTTCACCAGTTTACTTGAACTTAATACTTGAACACTTATTTTTCAGAAATTTATAGAGCCCCTAACCTTTAACCTAACATAAACACGTTACTCGGTTGACCTCAATTCGCGACGCTACACGCTGACAAACACTGACACAGTCAATCAACATTCAATTCGGGCATTTGCATTGCGCGCGTGGGTTGCGCAGTGTGAAGGAGTCTAGCCTTCTATAGGAGTTGCCAAGTTGAATATTTCACGAGTGATTTGCAGCCTTTAATGTGTGATGCGTGGGCAAGCACTATTGCCAATTCAAAAATATTTACTTAAAATTAGGAAATAAAATTAAAATCCATGTATTTTGGTGTCATTTTAATGAGATAGTATAGATAATATCAGTTAAAGGGAAATCTCTGAGGAGGCTCAGCCTACGTTGCCTCCTCTGAGGAGCCGCCACTGGAAATGACGGATTTCACTAATTGACGCCGACATATACAATTTTTTTATTCAACCATTTATTATATCGAGGACACCTCATCATCAGATTTTCAATGAATTATCCATTATCATATTTGAATGATCATTTTGTTCATCATTCCTGATAACAGTAACAATGGTACTATATGGAATATTTTTTCTACTTTACAGAAGCACTGAAATTCTATAATATCTACAGAAGTTAGACCAGCATACGATCAATTCATTGCGGGTTTAAAAATTTGTGACATGTTGAACATACTAATTCAACATTCAGAAGCCTTCAAAGATGTGATGTACTTCAAAACTTCTAAGATAGATTACAAAACATTGGAGCCCCTTTTCGAAATCATATACAGTGAAGCTGGTAGTAATAAAAGGAAAATAGAAAGCCAAATTGTAGTCTATTGGAGATACCATCTTCTGGATTGGAAAAGTATTACATCTATGCAATATTAATTATGAATAAGTGTTGCTTGAAATTCCATGAATTTGAAATCAGGGCTTTCATTCTTCTCTGGATATCTGCAGCAATTGCCGGTTTTATTTGATGACATTCCTTGATTATTGTTATAGTTTTGTGGTTCTCAGGGGAATTGTCTGAATTTTCAGTATGTTGTAGTATCCAATGAACAGATACCCACCTACTGATTGAACGTGCAAAAACGCACAGTTTATCAGTTTAAATATTATTAGATAAATTTTTCCAGATTTGAAGGTGCCAAGTGCATTAAATATTATACAGAAGGTTCAGATTATGTCATTATTCACAGAGTGATAAATAATAGCTATCTATTTATCATGGAAGCAAAGGTACCTATCCATTTCCTCTATATTTACGTCATTTTCCACATAAAAAAACAAAATGCGGAAGTTTAACGCAACGAGGCCTTTCCACGGCCTCATCAGATATATTTTAGGGTGATCTCTAGAAGCGTGATAATCCACAAATTATTTTTTTTCTAATAGAACACCCTGTATTTAAAATTTTTTCGAAACCTGATTTTTTGTGATCTTATTTATATACAGGGTGAGCCATAACTATTGGGACATAGGCTGAAGGCGAATTGTTTGGACCAAAATATGGCGATAGGACCAAACATGTCTAAGTGAAATATTGCTGTGGAAAAAGATACAGGGCGTTCAAGTTTTTCGTTTTTTGTTAATAATTTCACTGTTTATGAAATAGATTTGAAAAAATATTGTGATTTAGTTGCCTTCTGCCAGGATATCACAGTTCATACCTTCTGGCTGCATCCCGTTTTCTTCATTCGTAAAATGATTGTGACGAGACATTTCAGTCGAAAAAATTCTGACTTTGAATTCGCACCAAAATCAATTCTCTGGAACGAAAGCAATATTATCTGACAGTTCAAAGCACAGTCTTCATGAATTAAATAATATTTGAAATTGCCTTCCGATGCTCTGAAATGTTCAATTCCGTTTTTCTCGAAAACGAATGAAAATATCGTGTTTAAATAGGAGTACCAATATTACGTAAAAATGGTGTTTAGGTCATATTTTCCACTCAAAATCACTAAAAAATTCCGCCAAAAAAGTTACTAGTCTATTTCATCATCAGGAATCATTCACGTGGCGCCCCCTGTAACAAAATTCAGAATAATACATAAAATAATATTTCCTGTATCCCTGTATAAAATTATGCATCTTTGCATATTTTCATAACAATTCATAAATATGCAGTGAAATTATTGGCAAAAAACGAAAATAAAGTCGACTTCAACGCCCTGAAATCTTTTTCCACAGTAATATTTTGTTGATACATATTCGATCCTATCGCCTTATTTTGTTTCAAACAATCTGCCTTTAGCCTATGTCCCAATAGTTATGACTTACCCTGTTTATAGTGTTTTCTTCTACTTCTCTTTCGTTATATAACCATAAAAAAACAAATTACGTGTGTTCGCTTCTTCAGATATCCTGTTAGCCATAAATTAGGATCACAGTTGTATCTTGCATCATTATTGAATACATTCCCAAATTGATTGACTACTATCATCAGACAAAAATTATTCTTCTGAGTTCACAAAAATGATGATGTTAAAAGTTAGCGTAAAAAAAATAAAATACAGGGTGTTCTATTTGAAAAAATAAATTTGTTATTTGTCACGCTTTTAGGGACCACCATGTAAAAACTTTGATACTCAACCCTGTACAGTGAAGCTGGCAGTAATCAAAGGAATATAAAGAGCCGACTTCTGCTCATTTGTGAGATATTTTGAAAAGCTGTTTTCTACATAGGTATATTTTGTCTTCTATAAAATTTGATGTGATCTTGTAAACAGGCTCGATTTCATATGTGTAAATATAAAATAAAAAATAGTTTCAAAATTTCATTCGAGGTATATCAGACAGGGTAGACTTCGGAACTACATTTACGTGTAATACATGCGTACCTACATTTTCAATCAACTCCTTGCGAGGAGGCTCCAAATTGATGTTGAACCAACAAGTGGCCAATATAGCCAGTATTATTCTTCATGTGAGACATTATTTTATTATTATTTTTCAGGCATATGGATTCAAATCACATGTTGGTTAGTTTTCAGGCATATGGATTAAAATCACAAGTTGGTTAGTTTTAGATTTTTAAAGTATGGAGCTATTGATGGATTTAGTCGGTCCATAATATACTTGAAATGTTTGACAGACAATGAAGCCCAGAGTGTACTCAATTTGTTCGAGGATGGAGTGGGAAAATTTGGCTTGCCTAACAGATTGCGAGGAGATCTTGGAACTGAAAATATTTCTGTTGGCTCAGTACATCATTGACAGGCGAGGAACTAACAGAAGTAGTTATATAACAGGTCGATCAGTACATAATCAGAGAATTGAACGTTTATGGTCTGAAGTTAACAGGGTGGTGACAAAACATTTCAAAGAATTGTTCATTGCCATGGAAGATGAGAATATTCTCAGTGAACTGGATGAAATTGATCTATTTTTCCTCAGATATGTATTCCTGCCTAGAATACAAAATTGTTTAGAACAGTTTGTAGATCAGTGGAACAATCATAACTTGAGCACCATGAGAGGGTATTCTCCATTACAGCTATGGCAACTGGGGATGATTGATAATGGGTTTGATGTTGACATGAATGATGATCCCCAATATGATACTAACCCTATGGACTATGGAGTTGATATAAATGATCCCATTACAGGAATTATTACACAAAATAAAATATCAATACCACTTCCTCACCCAGATGTCATGGTATTGGAGCAAGAGTTGCGAAGAATAGTTCCAAATCCCCTGAGTGAGGATGGTAGATATGGAATCAACCAGTATCTGTCTGTTCAACATTTTTTAAGAGCTTCCCTTTCAGTGAGTGGAGACTAGTAACACATGGTGGAGTAAAAATGAATGACTGACTTGTAAAACCTTTATTTGTCAAACCATTTTGATAATCTTTTTTTTCTGGGAAGGTAGTTAGAATAAACATCGAATTAATGAATGATAATTCATTCATGATAATTTTTATGTATGTGAGCCACCTTTCAGTGAGTGGGGTAGTTAATAATATCATGGTGATTCATGATATTATGTCCTAAGCTATACCCCTTTTCTCTTCCATATGTCGTAAGCGCTACACTCTCAGGGTGTATATGTTTGTTTTTCCACCACTAGCTATAAAAGCTACCATCATTCAAGGCGTTTAGTATGTTCTTACTACCAAGGTAGTTTACGTCATTCTTGAACCACTTGTACGAACAACACCTACTTGGTAGCTATTCGATATCAAAAGGACTAAAATATGGAGTTTTCAATGACTTTTTAATAATATAAATTCATAACATGACAAATTACTAAAGATACATATCGTAACTATGATATACATAGTGATCAATTGTTTCCTTGAATTGAATCAATCAAAGATAACATGACGAACTCTAACATCCTTCCACCGTATTCGTCTCTTCATGAAATCTGACACATACTTTGTTATAGATTTAATCTCGCAGGAGGTTTTATTTTCCTTCCAGAGCGAGTGGTAACATGATTTTGTTCGGTATCATTCGATTTCACAGAATCATCATGTACTTCCTGTTCTGTAGAACTATCTTTCGCTCTTCCTATTTTCACATCACTTCTCAACCGTCGCACTTCTTGATCTGAATGAACTTCCAACGGAAACAACCTCTGAACCGGTCTCATAATGTGTCCAGAACTAGTCTTCAGGCGAACCACACGAATTTTGCCAGCCATTTCTACCAGGCAAAACTTCTTCAACTAAGGCTAGAGGCCAATCGAACCGTTTTGATGTTTCATTCCCAACCAAAACGACATCTCCAACTCTCACGTCATTTGATTTACATTTCTTGGGACGCATTATCAACTGACTAAGATATTCGCTCCTGAATCGCTTTCTTAAGTCTTCTTTCAATTTGAGTCGATATCGTAAATGCCTATTCAAACCTTCAGCATCGATTTCATCAATATCAGGAACACCAATTTGTTTAATTTCTTGTATAAACATCGAAGGCGACAATGGAATCAAATCTTGAGAGTCTTCAGACACGTAAGTAAGGGGCCGGGAATTCATAACGGCCTCACATTCACATAATATTGTTGATAACTCTTCATACGTCAAAGATACTCTTCCTAGTGTCTTTCTCAGCAGTTGTTTCAATAGTCGAATCAGCCGTTCCCACCAACCGCCCCACCAAGCTGCAGTCGGTGGGTTGAATTTCCATTGAATTCTTTCCACTACACCATACTCAGATATTTTGTCCCAGTTGATTTTTTCAAATGCATTCTCTGCTCCCACGAAGTTCCTACCATTATCACTATAGACTATCGCTGGCCTTCCTCTTCTGCTAATGAATTTACGGAAACCTTGTAGAAAACTGTCTGTAGACAAACTCGAAACCACTTCCAAAAAATCAAATCATATTCAAAAAAAAAAAAAAATGCACCGCTCTATACACTGCACAAGTAAAAATGATTATCCACGCCTTTTCGTTATTCCGTATGAACAGCGGTCCTGCTAAATCGACTCCGATTATCTCGAAAACAGCCGCGTCTCTGATTTGGTTTTCAGGTAAACGAACTGGAGGTGTATCAAATTTCTTCGCTTGGCTTCTACGGCATATCACACACTTGGAAATTACGGATTTTATGGATTTTCTACCTCGTATAATCCAAAACTTCTCTCGCATCATACTCAACAAACCTTGAGTGCCAACGTGACAGTTGTCAACATGGCAATCATATATCATTCTGGCAACAACAGGGTGATTTGTTCAACAATCTGCGTTTTTAGTCTGAAAATGCCATCTGCATCCTCGTAGGGTTGTAGGGAACGAAAACTATCATCATGGATTCCAGAAAAAGCTTCTCTTTTAATCAATTTCATCAATGACTTTTCAGCTTCTTGAATCTCCCCTAATGTTAACTTGGGGCTTCTGTTTTTCATCACACTGTGACTATTGTAACAAAATCTTCTTAACCATCCGATGAGATTCAATATTTTCTTATACTTTGAAAAATATCGATAGTACCAAGCATTATCTTCTTGAATATTCAAACAGGACGATACGACAGATTTGCTCCTCTCGCCAATAACATGATCTTCATTTACCTGATAATCCTGGAGAGGCCACTCACTTCTTGGTTTTGAAAGCCAAAATGGGCCCTCCCACCATCTGGACTTTAACAATTGCCTCGGAGAACATCCTCGGGAAGGCAAATCTGCAGGATTTATTTGTCCGGGTACAAAATGCCAATTATCGATCTTTGTGAGAGTTCTTATTTCTTGAACTCTAGTCCATACAAAAGTTTTCCACTGATCTTCCCTTCGGATCCAGGATAAAACTGTGCTCGAGTCGGTCCAACAAAATATAGGAATATCTTTGTTATCAAGTACTTCCAAAACAGAAAATATCAACCTCGCTCCAATGTTCGCAGCCAATAATTCCAATCGTGGTATCGACATCTTCTTCACGGGTGAAACTCTGGACTTCGATTGTACGAGTTGTACCTGTATTATTCCGTCAGATTCCGATCTCAGGAAGAATGCAGCTGCATAAGCATCTTGACTCGCATCCGAAAACATGTGTAAACTCCAAAAATCGAATTTTGACACATTTGACAAACGTCTGGGAATCTTCAAATCAACTAAAATACTCAAATTGTTGAGCCATTCTAGAAATGTACCTTTAATATCATCAGGCACTTCAACGTCCCAACTGTTATATGGGTTGGATCTTGGAATGATATACATACTGTATAAGGGATATGTCATGGAGAGTGACAGTGAATGATGGGAGAATAAATGATTGAGTCAAACCCACAATAGGTACATTACATGGTGTCAGGTTTTATAAATTAATGAACTCACGTAATAGCCAGCAATATGGCAGAAGAAATGCTTAAAAAGAAGCTCCAAGAATTGGAAGAGCGGTTATCACGTATTCAAACTGAAAATCGAACAACAGCCAGCTCATATATCAATTCAATTCCTCCTCCTGAACGCTTCACATTTGAAGCAGAAGGAAGATTCAGGAATGTTACTAATTTACAAAGTCAGCCACAAAATATTCAGGTAGATAGTATGTTACTACACTTGGGGAGTGATATAAATAAAGTATTCGACAATATTGGGAAAAAAACTGAGGAGATAAACTCATATGATGAATTGAAGAATATATTACATGAATACTACATAAAACAAGTAAATGTTATATATGAACGAAGCAAATTCAATACTAGATTTCAAAAGGAAGGCGAACCAGCAGAAGATTTCATTACGTCTGTAATGAAATTATCAAAGACATTTGCTTATGGATCCATGGAAGACGAACTCATTAGAGATAGAATAGTAGTAGGCATAAGAGATAGAAAATTAGCGCAACAACTGCAAATTGACTCAAAACTAACTTTACAAGTTGCGAAGAATAAAATTCTGCAACATGAACGAGTGGAGAAAGAAAATAAGGATATATTTCACACAGACATGAAAAGATCACAAGAAGTAAACAGAGTATTCTCAAAGGAAAATAATGATAGACATCAGAGAAGGTACAACGGTAAAGAGTATCCTGAATGCTTCCGATGTGGGGCAAAACCTAGTCATCACCTTAGAGATTGTCCTGCAGTGAAAGCCGTATGTTCACGGTGCCAACGAATTGGTCACTTTAAAAAAATGTGTAAAACTAGACGAGTACAAGATATCGAAGAAGAATTCATCAACTCCGATTCATCAGAATCATCTGAAGAATTTTTCACAATGTCTGAAATTGTATCAGAAATCTCTGGTGGAGAAAATGGCCCATGGAATTTGACACTTCGAATATTGAATGAAAATGTCAAATTCAAAATTGATACAGGGGCGGATGTATCAATTATATCTAGGAAAACATATGAAAGATTCGAAGGTAAACCAAAGTTGCAGAAACCAAAAACTACATTAAATGGTCCTGGAAATCAACCACTCCATATTGATGGTTTGATAGATGTGCCTGTTAGCTGGAAAAATACAAATTATAATCTGGAATTGTACGTCATGAACGGTGGACATAATTTACTAGGCCGCCCAGCTATAAATGAATTCAACATCATACAGTGGATTCAAGAAGTGTACAAGTCTGGAAATGAATCAATTGAGAGGATAATCAATAAATATCAAGATCAAGAAGGGACCACTCCATTTGCGATAATATCACCTAGAAGAATCCCAATACCATTGATGGGCAAGGTTAAAATGGAGTTGAATAGAATGTTGGATCTGTCTGTCATAGCTGAAGTTGAAGAGCCAACTGATTGGTGTGCTCCAATGGTTGTGGTTACAAAATCCAATGGAGATGTCCGTATCTGCGCTGATCAATCAATCAATCAATCAAACTTTTATTAAATAAGTTTTCATCTACAATAAAAATTAGGAAAGAATCATAACATCATTGTAGAATACTAACTAATTCAACAGGTCATACAATGAAAAATGAATATATTTATTAAAAAAGTTAAAACAAGACTTAATATAAACACTAACCATTAGCTTGGAAAAAGAAATTGAGAATGTGTATAAAACATCAATGATATACTAGACAAATATATTTACAAACAACATTAAAATATCATTAAAATAGTCTGATCATTAGAATATTTACTCACATCATGATTCCAGGAGAAATTCATCGACTGAGTAATATGCTTTTCGCAATAAAAATGATTTGAGTTGCCTTTTGAACACATTAAGATTTGTAGACAATTTAATGTCTTCACTGAGATTATTATATAGCTTAACTCCATAGTACATGGGATGATTCTGTGATACTGACAATCTACTACGAGGTGGATGCAATTGATTACAATTCCTAGTGAAATGATCATGAATTTGT